TCTCCACACAAAAATAACAAGATTATAGAAACAAAAAAGTCACAATTATTTTGATCATAATGAATATTCAACGACAAAAAACAATGTAACATCAAAAGTTAAACATTTTGTTGCGATGGCGCTCTGAAGGGGGAGTAACATTGACGAGCAAAGGAAGAGGAGATGAAAATTAAACTTTATACAGCTCTTTTTAGACACTCAAACACAATTTATACTGCATTATTCATTCACTCCATATTCAGTAAGATAAAACAATCTGCACTATCAGCCTCTCCGACCATCACTCACGCACACACTACTTCCTTGTGCCTTGCCTAAGGACACAAGAACAGTTTTCTTAACACTTCCAGTTTAATTTAATTGATAGTTATATAACAATAACCGAAATATCGTAATATCGTATCGTCAAAGTTCTCACAGTAATACCTTGGACCATCACAATATATCGACTTACAAGTCTCTTTGCTTAAATGAAGAGTTATGGTGCAGCAGTAGCTAAAAATGACAGAGGGAACTACAAAGACCATGACCCTTTGCTCCATTTCAGCGAAGATTACAAGAAGAAATAACAGTTCTAAGCACTTTTAAGTCTTAGTTCTTTGGATTAAGTCTTGTCAAGGCATTTTAAGAGGAAAAAGCAGCATATTAACAGTTTTGTTAGCCTCCACAAAATATCACAATAAATATCGTACCGCGAGGTTCATACCCTGATGATATCGTATTGTGAGACTTGCATATCGTTACACCACTAGTAATTGATTATTAAAGGCATTTTTTAACCTTTTTAAAACTGATTTAATTACATAGTACAGCTCTACTGCAGCATATTCTTAACCATTTTTATTGATCGCAAACCGAGTGTACTCTGGGATCTGTTGATGTTGTCTGCGGTTAATCCATCTTGACATATGGAAAAACACACTTACGTTAAAAAATGCATTATGCTACATTGACATTCATGTTCATACAAAATGAATAGGTGCCGAAGGGTTTTTGACGCCTAGCAACAAGTCAGGGCCGGTTCAACTTCCTGTCGGCGTTTGATATGTTGATGTATTATTGAAATTCCTCAGTATAGATGCTTATATTTTATGTCAGCTTCATCTAATCTAAGCGTTGTTACCTTGAGCAACAACATGAACTGTAAGTCTTTGGTCAGTGTTGTCTCAGTTGGCTAAATTAAGTCAATTGTTTACTTAAATGGGACTATTGATATGTGATTTATAAAGACCACAGTAGAAATGAAAGGGAGTGAATAGATGGTACAGAAACAATAATGCTTTTAAAAGGCTGATATTACACCACATGATCTGATCTATGATATGAGCTTTAAACCAAGTTAGAATGTTGTTATCTCATCAAAAACATACCTGGAGTTGTGTTTTGTTTCATTCACACATGATAACGCACAAACTCTGCATATTTAGACTGAGTTCTTCTCTCAAACAGAAAACACCCACTTCCACCTTGTGATGTCATGTGGTAATACAGGACATGCTTCACTGTTTTTAAACTCCATACACCGTCATGTGAATCATTTCGATGATTTAAACCCTAGAATTTTCAATCACAAGGTGGAACAGAGCATTTTGAGCTTTATAGATGTAAACAGACTAATAATAAAGTGTTACTCAAACATGTGTGAATGAAACAAAACACAACTCCAGGTATGTTTTTGATGAGGTAACAATATTCTAACATGACTTAAAGGGACAGTCTGAAATTTTGGACATAGGACCTAATTTCCTAGTGAGCCAGAGTGTTGGAGACGTGTGGAGACATTATAGTCCACCCAAGAGGTCGCTGGTGCTAGGCTAGTGCATGTCAATGGCCATAGTTATCCTGCCGTTAAAAACAGTCTTACCCACTCCACAAAACACCCAAAGTAAAACTATTATTACACCAGACTGTCGATGTAAATGTCTGTGTCGATAGAATAATGTTTGAAATAAAACTAACCTTGCATCACATGAATTGTTGCATATTGAGGGACTATTTTCTCATATATTAGTCCACCACTGCCAAGCTTTCTATCTGGAAGTACAACTCGCTGCTTCTCCTCAGACATAAATCCATCAAATGCAAGATTGGTTTTACTTCTAAAATTATTCTATCGACACACATATTCAGATCGACAGTCTGGCGTTATAATTGTTTTGCCTCGGGTGTTTTGTGGAGTAGGTAAAACTGTTTTTAGTGGCACGCTAACTATGGCCATTGACATGCACTAGCCTAGCACCAGTGACCTCTGCAAATACAAGGACTGGATGGAATATTCTCATCTCCAGCACTCTAGCTCACTAGGAAATGAGGCCTTATGTCCAAAATTTCACACTGTCCCTTTAAAAGCTTGAGGGTGACAATTTTGCGTAATATTTCTTAAAAGTTGAGTGAGATTCAGTGCCGGTACTCACTCTTAAATGAAATTCAGATTTAAAATTCCTCAGCGCAGATGTTAATAATAAATGTCAGCTTTATCCAGTCTACATGGCGTTACCTTGAGCGACAACCTTGTACATCGGAGCGGAGGATGCCCTGCACGAATTTGATATCCCATAAAAATGAATTATTGTAGAGACATGTCTGTATTCAGCTGTGGTCAGTTCAGAGTAGGCTTGTTTGGCCAGCCCTGAACGCAGAATTGGTTCTAATGAAAGGTTTCGGAAATGCCTGCTGACCTTGGGCTATATCTCCGTTCAGGTTTGGCCCTTCTTTAATTGGAAGGGTGAGAGATTTTTGTAAAGAGGGCAGATAAAAAGCCCTGGCACGCAATGTCCTCTGCGTATTGAAAAAAAAAAACCCTTTTACTGTTTTTGATTACAGCACTTGGCCTGTTAGCACTCAGTCATTTTGATGAAGTGAACTTTAGTTTAATCAATTTCTTCCACTGAATCAAAGCGGGGTGAGAAAGAGAGAGCGAGGGGTAGAGAGGAGAAGGAGTGGAAGAGAGAGAGGGGGAGGGAGAGAGACGGGAAGTGGAGAGAGAAAGGGAGAGGAAGTAGGTTAAGAGAGAAAGAGAGAGAAAGGAAGATAACACAGACAGTGAGGGAGTGAGAGAGAGGGAGAGGACAGAGAGATGGAGAAAGGGGGAGAAATTGAAGAGAAAGAGGAGAGGGGGAGAGAGAAAGAGTCAGAGAGAGAGAGAGAGAGAGAGATGGGGGAAGGGAGGGAGAGAGGAAGATGAGAGGGAGGGAGAGGGAAAAGGTTGGGGGAGAAGAGAGAGAGGAAGAAGAAGAGAACACAGCCAGTGAGGGAGTGAATGAGAGGGAGGGGGAGCAAGAGAGATGGAGAAAGAGGGAGAAAATGGGAGAGAAAGAGGAAAGGGGGAGAAGAGAAGGAGTGGAAGAGAGAGAGATGGCGAAGGGGGCTGAAAGAGAGGGGGCAAGAGAGAGAGAAAGAGGAAGTAGGTAAAGAGAGAAAGAGAGAGAGAGAGAGAAGAGAACACAGACAGTGAGGGAGTGAGAGAGAGGGAGAGGAGAGAGAGAGATGGAGAAAGGGGGAGAAAATGGAAGAGAAAGAGGAGAGGGGGAGAGAGAAAGAGTCCAAAGAGAGAGAAAGACAGGGGGAGAAGGAAGAGGAGAGAGAGAGGGAGGAAGGAAGAGAGAGGGAGAGGAAATAGATTGAGAGAGAAAGAGAGAGAGAGGAAGAGGGAGAGAACAAGCCAGGGAGGGAGGGGGAAAGAGAGAGAGATGGAGAAAGAGAAAGAAAATCAGAGAGAAAGAGGAGAGGGGCAGAGATAAAGAGTCAAGGAGAGAGAGAAACAGAGAGAGAAAGAGGGAGAGAGATGGGCAGTGGAGAGAGAGAGGGGGGGGAAAGAGAGAGAGATGGAAAAAGAGACAGAGAGAGAAATGAAAGAAAGAGGAGAGGAAGAAAGAGAAGAGGGGGCAGGGAGAGAGGAAGATGAGAGCGGGAGAGAAAGGGAGGAAGAGAGAGAGGAAGGGGGGGGAGATAGAGAAAAAAGAGGGAGCAAATGGGACAGAAAGAGGAGAGGGGGAGAGAGAAAGAGTCAAGACAGAAAGAGAGAGAGACAGTCAGGGGAAGGCAGGAAGAGAAGAAAATGAGAGAGGGAGGGAGAGAGAGAGAGAGAAAGAGTGAAAGATAGAGAGGCAGGAAGGAGAGAGGGGGAGGAAGAGAGGGAGAAAACAGCCAAAGAGAGAAGAGGAGCAAGAGAGGGTGAGAAACAGAGAGAGAAACGGAGAGAGAGAGAGGGAGGAAGAGAGAGAGGGAGAGAAAATAGGTTGAGAAAGAAAGAGAGAGGAAGAGGGAGAGAACAAAGCCAGTGAGGGAGTGAGAGAGAGGGAGGGGGAGAGAGAGATGGAGAAAATGGGAGAGAAAGAGGAGAGGGGGAGAGAGAAAGAGTCAATGAGAGACAGGGACAAGGCATGGAGAGAGGAAGATGAGAGCGGGAGGGAGAGAGAGAGAAAGAGTGAAAGACAGAGAGGCAGGAAGGAGAGAATTGGAGGAAGAGAGGGAGAAAACAGCCAATGAGAGAAGAGAGAGAGAAAGAGGCAGGGAAGGGAAGTGGACAGGAGGAGGAGGAGAGGGGACGAAAATCATAGAGAGACTGTGGGAGAGCAAGAGAGGGAGGGCAGAGAAACGAAAGAGGGGCGGAGAGAGGAGAGGAGGAGGAGAGAGGGAGTATTTGATTGAGCATTCCCACTTAAAGGTCATCACATCGCTTATCAGATTTCTTATCAACCTTTTTCTCCCACTCTGCACCAGGCCGGGGGAAGCCAATATTTGCTGAGCGATGTCGTAAAAGACCAAAAGAGAGGAGGGTCCATCGAAGCCATTAACGCACTTCCAGCTCCGGCTCCAACATCAATGCACTCCCTGACAAATGGGCCCTTATTACACCCTTTAATTGAGAGCAACGTCGCCCCCTCTGTCGGCACGGGGTATCAGCTAATGAGAGGTACAAAGACGGACCGCTGCTCGGAGTTCCGTTAGGGGAATCGGCGTCCTAAAAGTGCTAATCGAGACAGTAATTTGGATCGTACCTCTCCGCTTCCAGTCGCATCTCCTCGCGCTTTTGCCTCCGGAGCTCACGGCGCCGCTCAAAGTCCATTTCCTCCATGGCGGTTCCCTGTGGGGTAGAGCAGCAGCACAATGTAAACACAGTTGTACCGAGGAAGAATGTTACAAAACGGAGCTGTGGGAACATGGCACTAGAAGAATGCACGCTCAATACTGGGTGTGTTTGAAAGACTCGGGAGGATAGCTCAGAACATTGTAACGTTAAGGGGAGCTATATGTTATTTCTTCCTATAGAATGTTCAACGGTGTGGTGACAAGCTAAGGTTAAGGTAAAGGTCAGATCTGTGGAGAGGCAGTCCCACTCGCAGTAAGAATGCATAATGTAATAAAAATATCATAGACTGTATAAAGAAGTCGAGTACGACGTTGGGTGTTGGGTTTTGTCAATGATCAGATGATAATTTTGCAGAACTTGCGCCTGGAACTGTTGCGCTTGGTGGAGTTCCATTTGAGTTAAATCTTTCTCATTGTTCTCATTTTGTATGCTTTTGAATCATAGACTCCATAAAAAAGTGGACTAAGGGAGTGTGATGTCACCCACAGAGTTCGGCTCCAGTCAAATGAAGCTCACCAAGGCGAATTAGGAGCAGAGTTAAAGAGTAAGAATTGATTTATGGTCAAAATGGCAAAATAAAAAACACCTGGATCATGTAGGGTGGGTTAATATGAACATTTTAATGGGACCGTTTGGAATTTTGGACATAGGACCTCATTTCCTAGTTAGCCAGAGTGTTAGAGACGTGTGGAGACACTTTTTTAAAATATTCCATCGAGTCCTTGTATTTGCAGAGGTCACTGGTGATAGACTAGTGCACTAAAAACAGTCTTACCCACTCCACAAAACACCCGAAGCAAGACGATTATTACGCCAGACTGTCGATGTAAATGTCTGTGTTGATAGGATAATGTTTGAAATAAAACTAACCTTGCATCGCATGAATCGTCACATGTTGAGGGACTATTTTCTCATATATCAGTCCGCCGCTGCCAAGCTTTCTATCAGGAAGTACAACACATTGCTGCTGCTCAGACATAAAACCCTTAAATGCAAGGTTGGTTTTAATTCTACAACTATTCTATTGACACAGACATTCACATTGACAGTCTGATGTAATAATCGTCTTGCTTCGGGTGTTTTGTGGAGTGGGTAAGACTGTTTTTAGTGGCAGGAAAACAATGGCCATTGACATGCACTAGCCTAGCACCAGCGACCTCTGCAAATACAAGGACTGGATGGAATATTTTAAAACGTGTCTCCAATACTCTGGCTCAGTAGGAAATGAGGCCCTATGTCCAAAATTCCAAACTGTCCCTTTAAGATCAAAATGCAGATCCTGACAGCAGCAGTTACAGAGAGAGAGAGAGACAATGCATTTTCAATACAAAGTGCATTGGAGCTAGAGTCAATGGAGCCGGAAGCACCACCACGCTCCTTTCCTATTTGGAGTTATTTGGATTAGCTATGTCCATACAGTCTATAACAAATAGGGCTGGGTATCATTAAGAAGTTGCCGATACGATACATACCTCGATACTTTGCACTTTCAATTCAATACGATATATTTCAAACTGATTCAAAACAGTTCAATAACAAATAAAGGCTAAATCATGACTGTGATACTAAAAGTCTTTATTAAACCACTTCTTGTGCAAAGTTAATGTGAAACACAGACATTTTAATCATCAAAACTGAAAATGTCAAATGTGTCGCATAAAAGGCAAGGCAAAACATTTCTTTCCTCTAAATAAACAACAAATCTCTAGCAGGGTATACTGTATCATCACATTAAATGATACGATATATTGATATTTTTGCACACCCCTAATAACAAATACATTTTATTTAATACTTTAATGCAGTTTAATGCAATTTAGATCAATTAATTTAATACCAAGTAGAAGAACTTTCCAGGCAATCATAACATCTCCATGGTAGCAAACTGCTAGCCAGAAAAGTTGCGTAATGCTTCTTTAACACAAGTAGGGATTGTCAGGATCAAATATAAATATAATTAGATGAGAATTTTGCAATAGTCCTAGATCAGAAATGTGCTAAAACGTGCCAGTAAATGTTGCACTTGGTTGAATTACAGTTGAGTTACAGCTTTCTCAGTTTTGTGTTTTTTTTGGATCAACAGATACCACAGGGACAGGCATTAATTTACACCGGATGCCCTTCCTGTTGCAAGCAGAAATGTGCAATGCGAGTTAAGTGTTTTCCCCAAGAACACAAATAATACTTTCGTATAATCGTACAGTCATTGAGATATTGTGGATTGTGATGGAAATGACTGTAAAGCTCTCGTCTAGACAAGATTACAAAATGTATCATCTATCAAAACACAAAAGACAAACATTGCATCACTGGATGACATAAGTTAGTACGAGCGTTTGACAGTTACGGCTCTGATCTACTCCCAATACCAACAGTGGATTTTAAAGGCTTTTCATATCTCAACTCTTAATGCAACTTTCTAGATAAATTTCCCATGTTGAAATCCACCCTTTTAAATGCGATCCATCACCTCGCCCTGGTGTTTGTGGTCTGTCAAAAGTAACACAAAATACGTGAAAAGGGAGAAGAAAAACGTTATTATGAAACGTTTATGTGCAATTTCTCATGCGCCATCAATTTGCGTTCTAGAACATTTACAGCTACTTTGAACTGTACATTCCTTTCTATTCCCCCGGCTCGCTAAATGAAGCAAGACAAACAAAATGGTGCAACTCAGACAATAGTGAAGGACATTGCGAGACAGGGGAGGATAGCTGACTTCTGTTGTTAATCCAGTCAGATGAGAAGAGACAGTGTGAACGCTGTGTCTGGATTTGCCTTTTGGGTTTGAGAGCAAAGACCACCCAAGCTCTAGAAAGTAGCGCTTAGGCCTGTCGCGATAGCACGTTTCGATTTATGATGCCACAGAGAAATATTGTGATAAAGAATAATATTGAAACTACTTTATGCCTCTGAAGCAATAAAATAAAGCAGGATAATCTCACTAAACAAATTTTATACAGATGGTCTTATTAAAAAGTCTAAGATGCAACAAATAAACAACAGAATAGACCAATAATTAGCCATAAAGTTACTTATTCAACCCCCTACAGCTGAGATCAAACTGTATAACAACAATTATAACAACATTCTTATCACTAATGCAAAGAAAATGTACACAAAAGATTATAACTGAGCCCCAAAATATATTATTCCAGGTATCATGTATTAAGTAGATATAGTAATTATCATGATGAGAAATTGAAATACCAATATATCGTGATACTAAATTTGGTGGTACATATTGATATATCGCCAGGAGCATTTTTTGATATATTTTTATTAAACTACATTGTGCTTTTCCACCTTCAAGACACTCAAAATACTTCACACCACTCACCCATTCACACAGACTTTCACATACCAGTGTACGCAAACACTGGGGTGAGGTGGGTTAAGTGTCTTGCCCAAGGACACAAACAACAGCCTTCATCTGTGAGAGCTGGGATCGCATCGCCAACTTGTGAATCAATAGATCTGACCACGCAACCAGTGGTGCTTATGTTGAGAGTGGGATTCAAACCCTCAACCTTGAGATCATTGGAAAATTGAGTTTATTCCATAATGACTTTGCACAGGTTGTGGTTTAAAAAGTATACTGTTTTTAAACCACCACTGTTGTGTTGTTAAAAATGTATTTGTTGTTAAAAATGTATTTGGTTCTGACTAGTGATATACTGCAGAATATCATGTGCAAAATATCGATATATTGCCATATTGTGATAATATTGTGATCATATCGTGAGCCATGTATCAAGTGCTGTATCGAATCATGAGGGACCCTTCGTTTCTCTAGCCAGGCTGGTGTCCCCTAATGCCTCCACAAAATTTAATTTCTCTCCAGCGACTAGGTCAGGAATCGGAACACACTAGATGGTTTACAAGAATCCTGAATGTTTTTGACCACGCACCGGCCAATCAGCGAAGAGCTGTGAAGCCAGCAATTACTTGGACACCACTGAGCGTTCAGGGCATTACATACATCTCGACCAAATAGCAGCGGCTGGTGAAATAAAAAAAGTACCTGCCTACTGTCGAGCAAATGAATCCTAATACTGCGAGGTCAGATGGTTTCTACGTAGTGAAACCGGCTGATGAATCAGGCTAGCGTTTCCCAGCCCCCTCCTGGAAAGTAAAGCTTCAGTTATAGGGCTGTAGTCAACTATAGAAATTCTGCGTCGCCTAAAGACATCGATCGACTGATCAACTAAAAACGAGTTGTGGCAAATACTCTCGAAACTATTACGTATCTCTGTGTATCTGACTCAAACTGCACTAACAAGACTACACCTGCATGGGAGTTTATGCAAAAACAACTATTTACGTAGAAAATGTCCTATAGGAAACAATGCATTTATATAGACAAACATATAAATCTTGTAAATCATGAGTTTAATCTGCCTTTTTATACATAAATACCAAAAGAAAAAAAATCTAAATAAAGTGATTCTTTGATTAATAAAAAATGTGGTCAACTAAGACACCATTCGACCGATTAATCGATAAATGGCTTAAAAGGCCCATATTACACCATTTTCTGATATATGTTAAAATGTTACTTCCTCACCAAAAACATACCTGGAGTTGTGTTTTGTTTCATTCACACATGTTTAATGCACAAACCTAGCAAATTTAGGCTTATTTCTTCACGCAAATCGAAAACATGCCACCTTGTGATGTCACGTGGTAATAAAGGAAGTAAGCCACTGTATTTTTAAAGTCCACACACCATCAGTAGAATCATTTGGATCATTACAGAGCATTTTGAGCTTTGGAGATGTAGACAGACTAGTAATAAAAGCTTACTCAAACATGTGTGAATGAAACAAAGCACAACTCCACATATGTTTTTGAGAAGTTAAGAGTATTATAACATGGCTTAAAGCTCACAAGAGTCAAATTTGTGTAATATAATGTAGGACCTTTAACAGAAAACAGCCAAAATACAATCACCACTAAACATGACTGAAAAGTGCACACATGTAGAGCTACACAAATGCATGAATACTAAGAATAGTACAGCAACATGTACCTTAAGTTAGCCTTGAAACTTCACAACATGCCAGCTCCAAACAAAGCCTTGTCCATGAAAATTCAATAGAGAAGTCCAAGTTTCCCACAGTCCTCTCTGGTCTATGGGCAAAATACTGTCTCCTTTCCTCTGCGTTATGGCCCCGCCCACATCCCATAGACTCTTCCTCCTCAACCCCCCAACAGCCCCTCCTCTCCCTGCCCTCTTCCTCCTCTCCATATCAGGACAGCAAACTTTTCCTGTCTTGTTTACCAAACTTAGACATAAAGAGACATTTTGTACTCGAGTTCTTCCTTTGTTTCGAGGCAGTTGTATCGATGGGTCTTGTGGGACTTACGCTGAAATAATTTGTAGCTTTTGAACTTAATTTAACATAGTTGCATAATGGGGATAAGTGCATTTTCCTGTTTTCATATTGTTACATTATTATCAAAAGTACAAATAATGTTTCCTGGTAATTTGGAGTTTCCTACAAGTTTAAAGATAAATTACATTACCAAGAAATAACATAAAATGACAGATGCATCCTGTTTGTGTAGTTGTAATTACCATCTAACTACCATAATTGCACATATCTACTATGATATTGCTGTGTTGCAAGGTACAGCTATCTGCAGCTTTTATTAAAATATTTAAAGGGCCTATATTACCCAAAATGAACTCTTGTGAGCGTTAAGGCATGTTATAATGTTGTTACCTCATCAAAAAACATATTCGGAGTTGTGTTTTGTTTTAATTACACAGGCTAGAGTAATATTTTATTATTCGTCTGTCTACATCTCCAAGGCTCAAAATGCTCTGTTCCACCGTGTGATGTCATGTAATGGTAGTTTTCAAGTTAAAGGGACAGTTTGGAATTTTGGACATAGGACCTCATTTCCTAGTGAGCCAGAGTGTTGGAGACGTGTGGAGACACTTTTTAAAAATATTCCATCCAGTCCTTGTATTTGCAGAGGTCGCTGGTGTTAGGCTAGTGCATGTCAATGGCCATAGTTATCCTGCCACTAAAAACAGTCTTACCCACTCCACAAAACACCCAAAACAAATCTATTATCACACCAGACTGTCAATGAAAATCTCTGTGTGTTGATATAATAATGTTTGAAAAAAACTAACCTTACATCGCATGAATTGTCACATGTTGAGGGACTATTTTCTCATCAGCAACAGAATTGTACTTTGCCAGTAAGATAGGTGCTAGTTGATATTAATCCACCACTGCCAAGCTTTCATCAGGAAGTACAACCATCCTAAATCCTAAATTGAAATGCAAGGTTGGTCTTACTTTTAAAATTATTCTATCGACACAGACATTCACATTGACAGTGGCAGGATAACTATGGCCATTGACATGCACTAGCCTAACACCAGTGACCTCTGCAAATACAAGGACTGGATGGAATATTTAAAAAATTGTCTTCACACGTCTCCAACACTCCGGCTCACTAGGAAAAGAGGCCCTATGTCCAAAAGTCCAGACTGTCCCTTTAACAGCTACCTTTTACCTTTTCTTTAGTAAAGATTGACAATTCCAAGGCTGAAATTATCCAAATGATTCCAGTGAAAGTTTATGGAGTCTTAAAGTACAATGGAGACATTCCTGTGTTACCACATGACAAGATGGAACAGAGAAGAACACAAGTCCAGGTATGTTTTTGATGAGGAAACAACATTATAACAGACTTGGTGTAACATGAAAACTAATGGACCGTTAGAGAAGAACTGATACAGATAATGTGAATAAATGAACACTGCAGTATAACTTTTCAAACAAGTTATCAGTATTGTAAACACATCCACAACTTCCACTGTACTTTTTTATTACTCCCTCAGAGAGATGCTTAAAATACCACAATCATTTCCTTTTTCTGTTAAGACCTGCGCCTTGTGTCATTCACGAAGCAGGAGGTAGCATTTGGCACAGGGATATTGGCCTATTCGAACTATAATTAAGACTAAATGAGAGCAATAAGTACAGGAGACAAGGTGCTCGGATACAGGAACGCAGAGGGAGGCAGGAATAATAGAAAGGCAAGAAAAAAGTTACATTTTGTAGTTAATGTGACTAAAATTTGATTTATGAAGCAGATAATGAGAGACTTTAATGGGTAATTGTTTGGAGAAGAGATTAAGCCAAAATGTTATTAGACAAAATGATCCCCAGGTACAGCAATAGGAGTTCAATAGTGAATGAAAATAGACATTACAGTGAATTAGTGCTTTGCTCTGGATGTGGGGAATGTAAGATAGGAGGTTCAGGCATAGACTGTGTATATATAAATGGACAGAGCAAACCCACTAGCTGCCGGAAGTGAGCAAGGAGGCGTTTTTTGGCTCCATCGACTCTAGCGCCAATTGTCTTTACACTGAAAAATTGTAACAACCTCGCTGTAACTGCTGCGTGAGCCTTCTAATTGTCGTCTGATTCTTTCTATTATCCAAAGAAAGTGTTTTTTTTATCACTGTGGTATCAGAATCCATCTTCAGTATCAAGGCTATTCCTTAGGTTATGTTTACACTGAAACTAATCACCGTATCACTGTATTGGAAACGATTTGTGTTCAGACACTTCGTTTCTGTGTCCGCAATCAAAGCCTTCCCTATCCACACAGTAACGTGAAACCGCCTGAAACGGTAGTCACGATGTCACAACTTCACGTGTGCAGTAAAAACAAGGAAGTGGAGCACCGTGTCTGAAGTTGCAGCAGCCGATTTCGAAGACAGCAATAGTGAAAACTGTTTTTTCATGGACCGACGATGAGGTTCAGTTTGTCTATGGTTTGTTTAAACTGGTTTGGCAATAGTGTCACATGACCGATGTCACGAACACAGCAAATCAGGAAAGCACAAGTCACAGTGACGTGGTCCAATAAGGATGGAACTAGAGCTCCTATGTCACCGTATCAACGTTTTCAGGTGTCCACACAGTGCTGAATCAGATCCATACTCAGATGAATTCGTGGGAGCTGACGGCACCAGATCATTCCCTCTCTGGAGCCGTTTTCAAATACATACTAGTGTGGCTGGGGCCAGAGTGTGAAATTTTAGTATTATGACAACTCTAGTTTGATTTAACTTTAGGGATTGGCACTGTATCTCTCCTAATGTTGGTATACGTGATATTGGGGGATTGTTTCATATATCGGTATTGCAAAAAATGTCCTCATAATTTTTTAGCTGTTTTTTCTAATATGAATAAGCTAAGAGTGCATTCTCATAGTAAAAAGTACAACAAACTACATTATATTCAAGAAAATACTTGTGATTTTGAAAACTGAGATACAACTTTTCTTCAGTTTGTGGGCATTTCCATCAGTTATAAAACATCTTAATCTTAATATTGGCAAATATCAGTCACTAGCCAAATAGCAAGAGCCAAAAACAGCAGTATTGTCTGAAAAAAAATCCTTACCTGCTCATTCCTATTAGACATACTTTACTTTCAACAGGAACTAATAATGTATTAATACCTTTTTATCACTGGTATTTTGTTCACACTTTGGAGAGAAGAACATAAAAAACACATTTTTTGCCAGGAATATCTGCAAGTAATTTGACTATACAGGCATATGAGAGGAAATGTGTGGCTTCCAGAGAAGGTCTTCTTTAGGACAGTGAGGACATAAGGGACCACCCACACACACGGGGAGGAGGAGACGGAGGAGACACAGCCGTCCTCAGGCTACAGCAACCTGGACTCAACTGCTCTGAAACTTTTTTAGAATTTCAGATTGGCCGTGTTCACCTCAGTACTCATTTGCACAAAACTACCATCTGCACTGTGAAAAAAATGAAGATGAGTTGGGCTGTTAAAGGTTCGATATTACACAAAATGTACTTGTGTGAGTTTTAAGTGGTGTTAGAATGTTGTTACCTCATCAGAAACAGACCTGGAGTTGTGTTTTGTTTCACTCACATGTTTGCATAATCCTTTAATATTAATCTGTCTAATCTCCAAAGCTCAAAATGCTCTGTTCCACCTTGTGATGTCATGAAGCGGTAGTTTTCAAGTTAGAAGCTATCTTTTATCTTTAGTTCAGTAAAGTTTAGCAATTATCCAAAAATATCCAAATGACAATGAAGATGTAAGAGCTTTAAAACACTGTGGAGCACTTCCTGTATTACCACATGACATCACAAGGTGGAACAGAGTATTTTCTGTTTGAGAGAAGAAATCAGTCTAAATATGTAGGTTTTGTGTGTTAAACATGTGAATGAAACAAAACACAACTCCAGGTCTGTGTTTGTGATGAGGAAACAACATTATAACATAGATCAGAAAACAGCCTAATATGGGCCCTTTAATTGTCATAATTTTGTATTTTGTATTATTAATAATGAATTTATTTATTTATTTTTAAGTTTTTGTAAGTACTATCAATCCAAAAATCCTTTCTAAGTGAGTTGTGATATACAGGGTTTCCACTTTTTTGTACTGACAAAATTTCTAAACTTTTCCATGATTTTTTCATGACCTAAACTGAATTTTCCATGACTTTACGGCACCTACATGTGTAGAATTGATCATACATTTAGGGCTAAATGTGAAATGTTAACCTTTTCCACTCACCTTATGGGATTGGTATTACAGTTTTTTTTACATTCAAAATACTGTCAGTGCTTTTATTGTCGTCTCTTTATAAAAAAAAAAAAAAAGAGCCTGAAAGAGATACAAAATTTCTATAACTTTTCTAAACTTTCACTGGATTTACACAGGTCCATGACTTTTACAGGATTTGCATGACTGTGGGAACCCTGTATATGTTTCTTGCCATTTCACCCAAATTTAAAGGTGCACTGTGTAACTTCTTTGGTGGAGGGTCCATCGCATGATTGTTTTTTTGGAGATGTCATTGCTCTGCCTCGAATGTTCCACAGTATGACATTAAACAGCTCTACCTTACATTTATTCAATTACAGGTATTTTCATAGCTCAAAAATACATAGAAAAACAGGAATTCTGACTGTGAGCGAGGCAGCCTCTCCACAGATCTGACCCGTGACTTGGTCTGGTTTGATCACCGTGAAGATTTAGAAAGATTTAATACTGTGCTACGAAACATTCCAGACAAAGCAATAACATCTACATAAAGAAAAGCATTTGATGGACCCTCCACCTGAA